TAGAGCCGCCTATAATAGGGCGTAATAGTACGCCCTCCGGTCTGAAGGGGTTAAATAACTTTGTTTCTGTTTATGCAGCCCTTGCCACACCTCCCCTGACTCTGATTGACACAGCCTGCATGAAAAAAATTGGTTTCACTTTCAATCAGATGTTATTTACCTTAAACAATTGTATCTCTTGCTCTGTAAATGGAACTTTAATCACACACGGGCTATTAATATAGCAGAGGATAAGAAAATCTAAATTAAACAGAACTTGCAATAAAGGAAGGATAAACTGTAGATGGCTCTTTACAGGAAGTGTTTAGGAAAGCTGTACAAGTCACATGCAGGGAGGTGTGACTAAGGCTGCATGAACAAAGTGATTTAATTCCTAAATGCAGGGAATTGATTAGTGTGACTGCAGTTGCATGATCTATACACCAAAACCACTTGATTAAGCTAAAGTTGTTTTGGAGAAGACATAAAAAAAGATCAGTTATGGCTGTCCTTGGTAACCCTGTTGTCCTGTTGTATCCGTCTGTTCGTATTGTATTGTCTTTTTCCCAATTGTACAGCGCTTTGGAATATGTTGGCGCTTTATAAATGCCAGTAATAAATAAATAAGATTCCCATGATACTATTCCAGTTTTAAGGTTAACTGAGCATCATGGGATATGTAGTTCAGCAACATCTAGGTTAGCAACCACTGTCTTAGCTCATAACATTAATCCCCACAAAAACCAATCAGCCTGCCAGCAGACTTTAATAATAAGTATAATAAAACGAAAGAGTTACAGACATGCATTACCCACTAACTAACCTTACCACAGCACAACTAATGGAGCACAGCTCCTATGGGATATGTGAGGTTGGCCCTTTCCTTTCTTTCATAACCATTGTTTTATGTACAATGATATATATAGTAGAGGATAACATAATATCTTAAAGTAGCCTAAATAATTCATAACATAAGAGCTTGCTCTGCTAAATTACATAAAATATATGGCTGTGGTTGGCTTTTCCAGAGAGATCTTGGATACAATCTCAGAGCAGAGAACTCCAGCAGCTGAATCTGTATATTAGGTATTGATAAGTTGGATGACATCACTGCAATTTGATGAAAAATGTTAAAAAAAAAAAAAATACAACTTTGAAAATGAAAAATATACGTATTGAATGGACCTCAAAACCAATGAATGGGAAGTCACTAGTTCATAAATTATTAGTAGACTCAGACAGTCAAAAACAGTGCAGAATATACATTGGTATGTGCTTATGGATGTAGTTACAGAAAAAAAGTAACAATTTCACAAACAAAAACAAGATAAAATAATTATTTGTAATACTTCAAGAAAATATTAGCAATGTAACTAGTTTGGTCATAAATTACTGCAGGTATACACTGTGATGAGCTTTAACCCCTTCAGGACTGAGGTTAGGGATAACCCTTGCTATTGGGAAAGCCCTGATCAAGAAGAGGTTAAATCTGCATGCAAATTCTTTTTTTTCCCTCCAGTCTAAAAGCAAGTGAAATCCATGCCCTGTGATTGTTACGATTAAACAGTTAACAACCTTTGATCTTTTCAGAGAGATACAATGGATATCCCTGGGACATATTTCTGAGTTTCTAAGTTCAGACACAGCTGCAAATTCAAACTAAAGGATAGGGAACACAGTTCCCTGAATATTGAAAGAAAACAGACTCAACCAACCTGCAAACAAGGCAGAAAAAGTCATAGACAAGACTTCCACAAGTATGGATTTAGGGAGAACAGGATCACAGATCTCTAGCTGTTCCCATTAATTGTAAAATGAAAACTATATTTCTCTCTCTCTCTCTTTTTTTTTTTAGGAGGTACAATCCTCGTAGTTGAGTAAAATCTCCCCAAATTCCTGATATCTCTGAGTCAAGTGTATTGTACTTTCCTGGGAGTGTAAGTAAACAGACAGTAAGTATTATCAGGGGATTCTGCCAGAGTCATTAGCATCCTGAGTCTGAGGAGTAGCACTTAGGATGTACATCCATTAACTGCACGCAGTGGTAATAAAGAAAAGAGTGGGCTTTGCATAGCAAAACCATGAGCAACGCTATAAAAAAAATGATTTGAAAGCAGTGGGTCCCAGCAGTGCACTTTGAGCACCTACATCATTAAAAGAGGTCCAGTTTGAAAGCCACATGATACCCTCTGTGTATGCAATGCTGATGAATCAGTTATAGAAGCATCTCCCAGGGATACACAAAATCACATACAGTACCTTTTCAAAATGGATAATGCACAGTACAGGGTACATCGTGGATGACATCGACCTGCTGACATCGCTGGAAAGACTTTTTTTTTTAACCATATTGATCTGCTGATTAAAAAGTCTTCAGAGTTGCAAGTCTCTCCAGTCCTGTTCTGGACCTCCCAGGCAGTTTAAGAGTCAGTGTGGGGCTCTTGGAATTCTGAGAACACGAACATTCTAGAGGACGATTACAAAGTATCACAGACCAGAGATCTGAGCGCTGGGTGACCTCGTGAACTAGTATTGTCTGCACAGTAGTTTCGAGCGTGTTGCATGATGTTCTGCTCCATTAGGGAAGTTTAAAGTCCACTGAATCCACCACCAACTGTGAGCTCCACCTGGACCCCAGGCAGGCGACGCTCCTGATTGGCTGAATCGGAAGCACATGACCAGCCCTCTATATTGGGCAATATTTACTTCCTTAGTAATGAAACAAGTCTCGGAGAGAAGATCAGGTGAAGATTAGATCAGGAGGGTCACCACTCAAGACTCACTCTAAGGATCAATAAGTGAGAGTCATTGGGAATGAATTCTTTCATTGAGTACACAACCTGTGGAGATGTGGTAGCATTTTCACCCAAATTCAGTCGCAGTGACCAGAGAAGTGTCCCTTTACAGCCTTATTCTGGAAATGGAACTGAAAGTCATTATTTGGGGAATTTGCCAATGAGTGTCCACGGGTCTTCTCCACCACCAGCCGATCAGCAGTCTCCAAGCCTTTATGGGACTTGCGGTCTGGATGTGTCTTATGACTCAAGTCCACCTGGAGATTATAATGTCCTACCTGCCTGCTCGGACTATGACTTCTCCTATGGAGGAAGCCACTCAATGGAGGACCCTGGGGGGCACATCCAATATGCCAGCCCGTTTTTCACTGGCAGTGGGCACTACATTCTCAATGGACAACTGAGCTACAAGACGGCGGGAGAAGGTAACCATGGGGTCCAGAGAAAAGACCAGCTGGGTATTTATTCTGAGAATCTTCATAATTTCTCCCCAGCCACAGGGACCTATCCCAAATCCTGCTCCCCAGCATCTGAGATGCAAACTGCTGTGAACACTTTTGACTGGATGAAAGTGAAGAGGAATGCCCCCAAGAAAAGTAAGTTTGTTTCTTGCTCTTCATGTAGACACTTACTAACCATCTTCTGTAAGCCATTCCTTCCATGAACTTTAATGGCTTACTGCTAACCTTAGTTTTATTTCTCACCCCTAACAGAGAGGGTAAACTTTGTTTTATCATAGATGATAAGAAATTCTAATTATGGTCCAAATTACATAACAGCTGCATCTTATCTGTCACCAGATTCTCTCACTATTGAATGAAAGGATTCCCTGCACAGCATTAAAGAAAAGTTGTTTTAATGCCTATAGTGTCCATTTAATGAAATAGTAGCCGATCCCATTAATCCAGAGAGCGGTATAGATACTCCTGTAGCTATGGACTACAAGTTTGATCATGCTCAGCATGGTGGGAGTTGTAGTCTTTATGTGATGGAATGCTAAAGGCAATATACCTATGCATGCAGTCTTTTTGGGCCATTTGCTTTGTGAATAACTGCACGTGTGCTGATTCTGTATCTTAGAGTTCTAATAACGTGTTGCTTTACTTTGCAGAAACACTCTGTGATTATGGGGTAGTGAATCCATCTAACACAATGAGGACAAATTTTACCACTAAACAGCTAACTGAATTAGAAAAAGAATTTCATTTTAACAAGTATCTCACAAGAGCCAGGCGGATTGAAATAGCTAATTCACTGCAACTTAATGATACCCAGGTCAAGATCTGGTTCCAAAACAGAAGAATGAAGCAAAAGAAAAGAGAAAGGGAAGGAATAACTTCTCATTCACCAAAAACAGGACCTGCCTCGTCTAATTCCTGTAAACCTGAGGACAAGCACGACTCTTTGTCTTCCAATGAAGACATCTCATAGTCTGGGATTATATAAAGAACTATGCCTGGGTACTGAAAAAAGTGCATTAAAAAGGTAAACACAAGGACTACTTGTATTGTACTTTTAGCCTTATTTGGTGGATCTGTATGGATTTTACATGTGGATGGCACATAATATTTCATTCTGCAACTTTGTTGCCTTCTATTGAGATGAATTGCATGCAGTGAGTACTGTTGGGAATTGACATTTCCAAAAAAGATGCCTAAAGCCAGACTTTGCCTTTATAACACTACAACATCCTTGCACACATGCCATGCATGTGCCATAGGAATACGAAAGATACAAAGATGAAATTCAAGGAATTGGACTTCTTTGAATGTCTAACTATAACCAAAGATGTTAATCCAGGTAGATTCTTTTTAGTTGTATGACTTTAAATTGCACTATTAGGTTTTAATTTACTATACACTGTGCCTGATCGAAATTCAGTTTTGGTAAATAAGAAACCCACACCACTTAATGTCATAGTTTAAATGTCTCTGAGCAGGGCTACACTAATAGATTGTTCTTAATGTAGAATGGCATGTATTTTAAATGTTGGATAATAAAAGCCAATGGAGTGATTTTGTGTTATTTGTACATTTTCACGATGACTTTTTAAATTATTTATTATGTATCTGATGTACATTTGTGTGATCATCTGAATTAAACTTTTTAGAAAATCAAGGATTTGAAAATATTTGAAGACACAGGTCAAATATCTAGTTCTGAATAAAAAAAAAGAGGGGGAAAAATACAGTACGATCAGATATATTTATCTACTAGAGAAATTGTCCTCAACATTCACACGGTTACTGATACAAAAGACAACTCACATCAAACAACCCTGGGTGGGGGCATTGCAAATTCTCACTTTCAAAGTGAGGAACACAAAAGTTCAAAACAAATTAAATAAACAAGTGGCTTTTACACAAAATCAGAGGGTCACAGGGAAGTTAATCCTTTAAAACAAAGAGGAGTACAACACTTCTTATATCTGATTTTTGTAATCCTATAAGATTAGGCAAAGGGTAAAAAGTACAGTTTGAAGTGGTATTGTGACGTCATCGTCCAGATCCTATGAGTTCATTTATCTCTTTAACTGCATGGATCTGCAAGGTTTGTGATTTTCATGTATTACATTTTATCATCTTTGGAAATTCAGGATATTTTAATATTGTGTTCATGTATAGATACTAATTAAATTTTTATTAAAATTCTAATTTTTTCTCTTTATTTTTCCTTTTTTTCCGTTTCTAATTTCTTGACCATCTGCTCTCTTCAATCTCATGCTAATGAAATGTTACTTGAAACAACAGATCTGTTCATATCAAAGCATCACACCTTTGGTTTGACCCCTGCTTGCCCATCAGTGGTCTTTGATATTGCAATGTCTTTTTCTTTGATCGACAGCAAAATCCACATAAATGACACGTTTAGGAAACTGCATCCCATTTTTCTAGGGGCTACTGGACAACATGTCTTGTGAAATGATGTCTCTTTGTCCAGATCTCACATGGGCACTATGGAAATGAACACTTGTCCTAAGATAATATGCGATGTCTTTTGTGAAGATCAAATGTTTTAAGAGGCATCAGTGTATTTGTCGAAGGAAGTTCACAATCCCTTTTAAATGTTTATTTCAGTAGAAGACTTGTCCCCTTTATCTGTGACATTGTGTGACAGGAGGATGGCAAATTCACAACCTAGTCATTGTAGGGTCCTGGGTCAACCAAAGTTTACTCCAGACAATAGCACTCACAATTACATGTTTCTACCTGTATCTATATCAGCTTGAACGGCAACTGTTAGATTCTGTTTAAATGTGGCTATGTAACATTTTACAGAAAATTATGTGCATTCCCAGATCTTTTAAAAATTGTACATCGCTTGAAGCTCATCAATTAAAAACATTTTTTATTTCAGCCAAAGTTTCGATCAATAAGTAAAAACTTTATCAAGGAATCTCCCCAAGATAACTTTAAATGTTGCTTTTGAGTGTTTTAGTAACTAATAATTTGAAAAATATTGAGAACTACAAATGGATACAAACCGTTTGGTGGACGTAAATCAAACGTTTTAAACAATTAATACATAAAAGGTTGCATTACATTTTAACTAAACTTTTGTATTAAATGCTACAAATAAATGTATTTTTATAAGAAAATGGCATCAACAGCAAGTGAATTTAAATAAAATTTAAATTCTTCTACTTATTGCACTGTCTTTTCTTTTTCCTCTAAGAGAGGAAGACAAAAGTTTTTACCCCTGTGTAATATATGCTATAAATAAAAATAAGTGAAATCTTGCATCATTAAAATAAATAAATACATACATTTAAAAATAAATACATTTATCAAAAACTATTGGTAAATGTATTTTTATTCATTGAGAACATGTTAATCTACCCAATTAAAACGAATTATTAGTTATTAAGAGAGAAATATACACCCATGTTGCAGTGAACATCACCCACATTATATCCTAAACTTTGTGGAAAATGATTTATCCAACATTTAATGTTACAGTAGTGTAGTAAAATCCAATATGTAAAGCAGATCCTCCATTAGTTTAGAAGAAATGTATCCTTTCACTTAGCGCCAATTTTAAAGAAAATCCACTTTCCAAAATGAAATAACAATGAATCAGCTAGCTAAAGAAGTATTAAGCAGGAATTAGATACATAACTCAGTTTGAAAAAAAACAAAAAACACAAAAAGGAATTTTGTATTCGCTAAAGTACAATTGTATCAGTCAAAAAAATAAATAAACTGTTAAAGTAACCAAGCTGTGACAACAGCAGATTTGGAGAACATTTACAAATCATTTATTATAGCCTAAATTTAGCCTTTTCATGTTTAAAATCGGTATGGTTCACTGTCTAGTGAATAAACTACTTCTAAATCAGCCAGCTGGTCTATTCAGTAGTTAAGTGAGGAATTTACCTTCAAAATTGTCAAAATGGAAAAAAAGTGTGCAACTCGCCATAATCCAATATAAATTGATATTACTAATCAAGACAACAAATCCAAGTGTGGATGCATCCCATTAAAAACTTATAGGGACACTCCAGGCAGAATGTGTAGAGAACTCATTCTGCATTTATAGATAATTTATCATTTAATAATGAGACCTGACAATCTTGAAACAATATTCTAGCAGTGCTGGACCTCTGCAGTGAAGTTATCTCTTGTAATTTCGTAACTACTCGTATGCCTCTGTAGGCTGGATCTCTCAATTTTCAAATAGAACAGATTCCCTCTGTAATGGAAAACTTAGGAAATAAATTGCTTTAGATCTGGGCTGGTCGCTGGAGATAGCCAAGAGCCAAGCTGAGTCTTAGCTTACATGGAGAATTCCTTTTAAAAATACTTTGCAATCTTTTGCAATGAGATCTCACTCTCTTACACCCAGAGCCCTCCAAATTTGAATGGCAAAGACAGGCTTGGGTACACTGGGCTAAGCTAGCCTCAGTGCTCACAGCCTATCATTGCAGTACAAATTTGGATGGATTTGCCTAGAACAGCAGGGGAAACCTAGGGCACACATTCCACATTAAGCACACAGAGGCCTCTCTGCTGGCAAGCAAATGTTTCTCCATGTTATTATTATTATTATTACAGGTATTTATATAGTGCCAGAATATTCTGTAGCGCTTTAAAATATTATCAAAGGGGGAGATTTAACAATAAATGAGACAATTACAAAAACTTACAGGAACAATAGGTTGAAGAGGGCCCTGCTCAAACGAGCTTACAGTCTACAGGAAGTGGGGCATAAGACTCAACAGGACAGGAGGTAGCAATCAATCAAGGTGGAGTGAAGCAGAGATGGGGAGAGAATAGAGTGCTGCCCTTAAGGAGAGAGCAAGGGACAGGTATGTGAAGTAGAGGTTACTCTGGGAGGCCATAAGCTTTCCTAAAGAGGTGGGTTTTGAGGCACTTTTTAAATGACTGTAGACTAGGGTAGAGCTTGATGGTTGTAGGCAGGCTATTCCAAAGGAAAGGAGCCACCCGCGAAAAGTCCTGCAAGCGTGAGTTGGCTGTATGGGTGCGAGCAGCAGACAGGAGAATATCATGGGCAGAGCGGAGAGACCGAGAATACTTGTGGATCAGTGAAGAAATATAGGAGGGGCTAGAATTGGTCAGTGCTTTATAGGTGTGGATTAGTACTTTGAATTAACTCCTATAGGATACCGGAAGCCAATGTAAGGACTGACAGAGGGGAGAGGTGTGAGAGGAGTGACAGGAGAGGAAAATAAGTCTAGCTGCAGCATTCATTACAGACTGTAGCGGGGCAATACGACTTGTGGGAAGACCTATTAGGAGAGAGTTACAATAATGTGAGTCCAGAATCAAGTATAACACCAAGACACCACTCATTTGAAGGGAGAGCGAAAGAGGGGGGTTAGTATTAGGAGGAGGAAAGACAAGGAGCTCAGTTTTAGTGAGATTGAGTTTCAAAAAGCTGGAGGATATACAATCAGAGATGGAAGAAAGGCAAGCAGTGACACGTTGCAGGACGGCAGGGGAGAGGTCCGGGGAGGAGAGATATATCTGGGTGTCATCAGCGTACTGGTGGTATTGGAATCCAAATGAAGTAATAAGTTTGCCAAGAGAGGCAGTATAAAAAGAAAATAGAAGGGGAGCAAGTACAGAGCCTCGGGGGACTCCAAACAACACAGGCCGAATAATATAATTATTACTTTTTGTTTAAAAGTATTTTTTTTTTTTGAGTGTGAAGAAGAAATGAAGATTTTAAATCTTTATTTTATTGCGCATAAAGTATGACATAACATAGGTATTATTTGCCACCCGTGTATAACAATTAACAATTCAAAATATGCAGGCAACAGAGTCTGCGCATTTTTACATTTTTCACAGTTGTGCAACAAAGTAGGGTAACAATATTTAGTTCGAGAGAATCTAGTCATTGAGCAGAAAAACAGTTTGGTCTGGTGGCATCGATTCAACTTTAAGCGTGATATAGTTTGTAATGTATAGTAGGGAGGAAAAACGGGGGGGGGGGAGGTAGGGATGGTGTGGGTATTAGGGTGGTCATGTATGGGTAGTGTTTAGATGGTATTTAGATGGCTCTATTGCCTAGATAGGTCAACCAAGGCTGCCATGTTAGGGTGTAGGTGGTGTATTTATTCGAGTATGATGCGTCTAGTTTAGCTGTGGTACCTTTGGGTTGCCTGCACCTCCAACATGTATCTGGCACTGTTGGAAAGATAGCATGAATCTTAGCGGGTGAGTAGTGCCATCTGGAGATTCTTTTGTATGTGCTTTCCCTTACTACGGTACTAATGGACGTGGCATGGGCGTATGTGAATATTCTGTGCCATGTTCCCACTGGAATGGTGACACCCAGCTCAGTTTCCCATGCCGCTGTGAATGAGGGAGGAGGGGTGTGATTTGCGGTGTTAAGAAGTTTGTAGAATATAGATAGGTGCTTGGTTTGTAGGCTGTGGGTAGTACAGTAGGTTTCGTATTTGGTGTGTGCTCTTGTTCCTCGGAGAAGGTGTGGTTCCCCCTTCAGGAAGTGTGTCAGCTGAGCATATTGGAAATATTGTTTGGTAGTTGGGTGATCTGTGGAGGCTAGAATAGATAGTGGAGCTATTCCTGTTGGTGTTATGGCCGTGTTAACCATCGGGTATCTTCAGTGGGGTCTTTACCTGGTTTCGGTAATAGCGTGATGTGTGCTTCCAGTGCCGATGCCGGGAGTGGGGCCGAATCAGTGAGAGCGTTAAATGCCCTCATATATGGTTCTGCCAAAAGTGTGGCGAATTGTTTGTAGTATTTGGCCGTTAGGCCATCAGGACCTGGGCTCTTGCCCAGCGGTGTTGATTTGATCACACATTTTAATTCGTCATGGGTAATAGGCATGTCTATGGAGCGGGCTACTTCTTCAGGGATTGTGGTTTTTTTAGCCTGGTTGAAAGAAACCCGTCTATGTCGGCTGTGGAGGGGGGTGAGTTTCTGAGGTTATATAGTTTGGTGTAGAATTGTTGAAAGGCTTCCATGATATCTGGAAGGGTGTGAGATAGTGTGCCAGTCTGTGTCTTGATTTTGGAAATGTACGTGTTTTGTCTGGACTGTCATAAGGCATTGGCAAGCAGTTTGCCGCATTTGCCTCCCTTTGCGTAATAGGAGTGTTTAGTGTT